CGGCGAATGGCTTCAACTACTCACAGTCGGGACGAACCATAGCTTGAGATCCTCAAAGAGCGAGTGCATGGTGACCTCCAGAGTGAATATGTTGCGCAAGGAATGGACTTGAAGGCCCTTCAGCTCTCCCTGAATCTTGGAGTAGCCGAAACCCTTGATGACGTCCCATACTTTGGCTATGTCCTGACGCTGAGGAGACAGGAATCAGACCAAAATGAATATTGCGATGTTCCAAACTCTACATACCTCCGCATCACTGTCAGCATCAGCAGCGAGAAATTCGGGGAATATATATGCGCAGCGCGTTGCCTCAAGCTGAGTTCTGTCGTCGTTCAATTCGCGGCCCAGTCCCTCCACGTGGAGCGCGGCCATGATATCAATTCGACCGGTCAACATGCAGCGATAGTTGTCGCGCATGAGGGCCTAACAAGAAATGAGAGGGTGGTTTATTTTGTAATGGTGGAACCCACAAGGGACTTCGCCCGGTAACGACTCTGGTCCATTGGCTGCCGCAAGCTTGAACCTTCGGTAATAGCATATATGTCCTGATAGAGATGGAGAGGCGAAGGGTCCATATCAATGCTATATATAGCGACTACGGAAGATGAGATGATGGCTCTGATGGCAGTTGGGTAAGACTTACAAGCGCGGATCAAGTACTTGTCGTAGAATTCGCCCAATTCGACAAGTGTTTGCTCATCTTGACAAGGGTTAATCATCTGGGCGATGTAATCTTGAGCAGCACTGGTGAGCCCAACGATCAGGAGGTGCCCTAAGATCCGCACGTTGACGAGCTTCTTCTCCAGCAATAAGACTGCGCTACCAGCGGCGTTATTTTCGAGGTCGCGCATGATGGCTGCCTCCGCTTGTCGACATTTCTTCATTGCTCTGACGACAGATGACGACTCGTGCGTAAAATCGCCAGGAAGTTGTTGCGGCTCATACGACATTGTAAGATCTAGTTGAGCAGCTGAGATGGGCCTTGTGGAAGTTAGGAGGAAGTTGTGCTCCGGCGGTCGATATCTGCTTACGTCACCTCGCGCCACATGACTTTTAAGGAAGGGCACAGACGCGCGTTGCAGAAGAATGACGTCTCCCCACGGGTACCCTTTGTGGGCCCACTGGCCTAGGGTGGACAGACCAAACATACTAGTCAGAAAAGGCCAGCGAAATTTCGTTTTCACAGAATTATGTACAGTTGTAGACCGCAGGGCCACCCTAACCTGCCTATTTAATACAAGGTACGAGCGGCTTTAGGCTGTGAGCATCATTCCTTATAGACGACGTCGTCTCTTCACGCTTTGTTAAACCGGCAGCGCAATACGCTTGCCTCTTGTGGCGCCTCGTCCATCGTATTTGACCACTATCCCTGCTCCCCGAGACTGCTTTCAAGAAAAGCTAATCTCATGGATGACGCAGATTGTGCGCGTGTTCGTTTTGGTTGACGTGACGTCGTAAGCCGCAAGGACTTGATCGGGCGCTTTCCTACGGGTTTACTTCCGCACACAATGTCGAACGCGCTTGGCGACTTTACGAACCAGCCCCTTCCTAGCGACTTTGCGCACAAATCACCAAAGATTGTCCAAGCGATGGACAGGTGTCGAGCAGCGGAAGCAGCTATCACGAGCATTCTCGAGAGCCCTGCCTTTGGGTACAAAGTCGCACTGGAAAGTTTTGTCCCGACTGTAGGTCTTCAAATCCTTCGCCCTCTCTCAGAGACCCATCAGCTTTTTGTTAGGAGATGTCAGACCGCTATTGAGTCGAGGCATCAGCGGGGAATGTTTCTCTTCTTTAGAAATGCAATCTGCATTTCTAAAGAAGAGAAACATTCCCCGCATTGTTGAGTTCAAGACCACTGAACCTGACCTCGGATTACCGTCAGCAGATTATCTCAACATCCACGCCGCTTGCTGCCGCATCTACCATTTGTCAGGCGCCGCGAGTTTGAATTTGAAACGAGTGAATAACAGGGCAAGCAAGGCAACTTCCCGTGGGAAATATGTTGATCCGAGGAGACAGCACAGTAGCTGTTAGCGACGTTTCCATCCATTTATCATCCGGTCTCTGCGTGTTGTGTACACCGACCACCGTGATTATACATCAGACGTAATACTTTAATTCATGTAATGAGTAGTGTTTCCGCGTTCAGCTTCGCCGCGTGTACGGCACGATGGTCCAGAGAACGACCACGGCGAAGGCCACACAGCTTATGGGATCATCATGCCCCCGTCGTGGTTACTTTTGACCGCTACGACAAGAATCTGTAACCTGCCGCTCGCAGTCAATCAATCATTGTGGAGTTTATTCGATGCCAGGCGGGCCAGAGCTGCAGCCCCTCGCTCAATCCGGATCCGTCGTTCTCCGCTCACAAGTACACGCAAACCCCAGCAAAAAGGGTGCCGCCAACAAACTTAGCTCGACGAGCTCCAACGCCCCATGTCGCCCCACCCAACACATAACGAACCTCAGCCCATGACACGTACTCATACAGGCCGCGGCGGGTAGGACCCCGTCGTGGTGTTCCACACGTCGCCAGCGGCGACACTCCAGTTGCCGTGGCATCCCCACTGCCAGTCCGTCGTTTGAATGATCTCGCTCAGCGCGGCGACGAAGGTGTCGAGCGGGCAGAGCCCGTCGGGCTGGTGCGGGCACCCGCGCAGCGACGTGAGCGGCACGACGCCGTCGTTGACGATGATCCGGACTTGCGGGCCGTGCGTGTGTGCGCACGAGAGCACTGGAGGTGCAGAGTGTGTTAGCAGATACAGAGAGGAGGACGAGAGCGGGAGGGAGAGGAAAGCGGCTGCGTACGCTGGAAGTGGACGTTGGTTGCGAATGGCGCGAGGTGTGAAGTCTTGAAGGACCGGTGGCGCGGGATGTGGGTGTACGGCAGGGGCCCGGCCGCGGCGAAGTTGCTTAGGTTCAGCGCGGTCAGGACTGTTCAAGGCACCACCCGCCCGAGCATAGTAGAAACCCCATCAGCTTTCACAGCGGGAGAAAAGTTCGCGACGGCGCAGAGTAGCGGGACGTACCGTTGAGCACGGTGATCTCGTGCGTCGCGTCGACATACAGGCTCTGGTCCAGCGGGAACGTCGTCGCGTTGTCGTCCAGCGTCGCGTTCGTCGACGAGTTGTGCTCCGCGATCGGCGTGTGCGTGAGCCGTGCGACGAGCTCCTGGACGTACCCGATGCCGAGCACGCGCCCGACCGGCGAGCCCCACGCTGTGCTGTACCAGAAGCCCAGGTCGAGTCTGTTTGCACGCGTCAGTGTTACGCGCGGCTCTGCAGGCGCGAGGAGGACGCACGAATAGTCGTAGCCCTCCCATTCTTCTTCGGTGAAGAGCTCGCAGAACTTGGAGTACCCGATCGCGACAGTCTCGTAGGCACACGTCTCCTGCATAGAGTATATGTCGTCAATAGTCAGATGGTAACCATGCAAGTGCTTCTGGAGGCGATGCCGTGCGTCCTCGAGATATATCTCTGCCCATTTGCGTGCGTAGATAAAGCCACGGATATTCTCCTCGCTATAGAAGTTCGGACATCTAACGAAAAGTGGTGTATCTAAGTCTGGCTCATGGAAGAGGAGAGTACAGCGACATACGTCATGTAGGGTGCAAGTGTGTTGTTTATCTGCACAGTAAAGAACTCAGTGCTCTGGAAGGGTACTTTCGCGACACGGACACATACCCCGGTATTCTCAATGGTGATACTCTGCTGGTACTGGCCCTCGAATGGGTACCCAAAGAACCCAATGGCGAAGTTCAGGGCAGAATCGAGCATGCGATTCCTATGAATGTTGTAGCGTGCTGGCGATGGCAGGCAGTATTTTACACGTACTGGGACTCCGTCCGGAACACAGGAATCGTGTTGGTTTCAGAGAAGTTCTGCAGGTAACATGAATACAGGCGTTGTATGTACAGCTGATTGGACCCACCTTAAGGAGGAAGCCGTACTTGAGGCGCGTAGAGACACCCAAGTCGTCTACAAAAATTGGTTAGCTGTGGCTGCAGCAGGCAGACCAGCACTTACAGAGCTGCTGGCGTCCAAAGGGAGTCAATACTATGATGATTCAGTATGTCGCTTTAGACGGTGCTCTGAGGGCATACATTCTTCGCCAAGCTTATATGTCCTGCGGGCGAAATGAAGACATCTGTCAATAAAGAAAGGTGTCAAGACTGACCATGTGTTCAAGAAAGCCAAATGTCCCTTGGCCTTCCACTCGGCTGCATGTTCGTTGAGACGGGAGGCCAAGCCCGCTGGACCGCTGGACCCGTCTATACAGCCATCAGTAATGTCTCCCACGCACAACCAGGTGGCCCTCACCAGAATGCGAAGGGTAGCGGGCGCCGTGGCGATGGAGAAGATGCAGCCCGGTGATGCGGCACGTGTCGGGCACCTCCGGGCTCGAGTCCAGGCCGAATGCGCCGCGCTCGACGCTGAACCATGGCGAGAGGTTGCCCCAGTACCTGAAGATATCGAATTTGGAGGACGTGTGGTTTCGGTGACCTTTGAATGATGGCGCAACAAGGTTGGGCGCGCCAGTGTGCACCGGATAGGACGGCGCGGTCACGACAATCGCAGGCTCCGCGCCTGTCGCGGTGGTGCCGGCGTAGCCGACAGACGTGGGGAAGAGCGATGGGTTGACGTTGGTCGGGGATGCAGGGGGGTAGTGGTGCACCTCAGACGAGCCGGCCCATGGCGCAGCATACAGCTCGACGGCGCCGGACGGGGCAGCCTGGTCGATGGCACAAGATGGCTGGTGCACATAGCTCAATACTGAAAAGCAAGTGAGAATGCCGGCGACAAAGGCAGCTACAATGCGCAGCCTCTGGTTCCACAGAGATGGTTTGACCAGAGTAGCATTTGGCTGTGGAAGCAGCTCTTCATACTCCCCGGGAGACTTGACGTCGTTGTATGGGTTCATGTCGAGGCGACACCGAGAGAGGGTCGTCGGGCTGCGGCTCTTTATGCAAAAAGCCCATCACTGGACCCGAACGCAGACGACGTCCGTCTTGCAAACGGAATGATAGGAATCCTGGAGCTGGACATCTGTTACCACCGATGCCACTCTGCGTGCAGGCTGTCTGTAGGAGGCACTCCACTATGGCCACTGACCTCGGGAAAAGCTGCGCATCTGACCGTCAAACGTCGGACTAGCAATTTTCTGTGCTGCTCATGTGAGTAGCAAACATCTGGGGACGGTTTGGAGGGGGCGCGCATGCTTCCGCATTTATTTTGATTCCGTTGGCAGCGAGTATAGAAGAGCGCATGCTCCGCTCCCGGGGCGATATTCACTTGGCCGACGGAGTCGTTACCGGTGCGATGCAGGGCTGGTTGGCTCGAAGGCTCAGAACAGCTCGACAATTTGTGGGCGTTGAATGATACAAGAAAAATTAGACTGGCTAATGACAAGCGCCTAGGTTCGTTACTAGGTAAGTAAAGTATCTGAAGCAGACTTTCCATTATTTTCTTACCCATCTCTACTTTCGTTCTTATCACGTGATAAATCCATTAATGAACACGTGCTTGTGTTTCCTTACTGTGTACCTCGCTCAAAGCTGCCATCTGCTGGGGTATATGCTTACATCCGGGTATCAAGTCCAAATCGCTCGCTCACTACTGCCTGACGGCAACTTCGAAAGCCCTGTGCACGAAGTCATGCCCGCCGACACAGGCTGCTTGAAAAGGCGATCAGCCGCCGCATATGAGAGGCGCGTCGGATCCCGCACCTAGCAAGTACCAATCGTGCTTCGATAGTCCTGGGAGCGTCTCTGGCTTCTCCGAAAGCAGCCAGTTGAGCCTCTACACTGCTCCTCAGCAACAACGTCGCCGATGAAACAAAATCGTGTACACACCGGGGGCACGAGCGTGTTCCGCGTCTTGATTCGCAGGCCGTAGTCCTCCAAGATCTCCTTCATGCGTGCTGTCTCAACGAACACTGCAGTGTGGCGCTCTTAGTAGTCACGTTACCCGAAAGAAAGCACTGCCCACTCCCTAGACGATGTTCTACACCATATACG